GGAAAAATCCCACTGCAACGTGGCCACCTGCAGCATCGCGGCATCTTCCCGCAAGGGCTGGAGCTGGGGGAGCTGGGTTTTCCCAGGGTGAAGGGGGTTCAGGATCAGGGCGCGGGGTGGGAGCGAGTCGCAGGGTTGGCAGCCATCGGGAAGCACAGCGAGGAAGGGAAAATGAGACAGCGGGGTGCAGGATTGCACCCAAACCCGCCCATCCCCATAGCACGGAGCAAAGCCGTGCCGTGCTCCTACCCCTCTTCCTATGTAATTAAGTTTTTAATTCATTTCGATCACTAGGCCAGCTCTGTTTTAAATATTATTGGACCTCTTAAGCAAAAATAAATACAGAAAAACCAAAAAAAAACAAGAAAAAAAATTAAAACCATGAGTAACCATGTCTTCCAAGTCTAAGTCTCAAAGGTGTGTAGGGATGCCCTGGAAAGCCCCGCAGCCTCGGTTTGTCCATCTGAAGTGTAAATTTGGTTGGGTTGTTTTTTTTTTTCCCATTTGTTTTCTGTTCTGGTTTTGGTTCTGAAGATCAGGTCGTGATCTCCCTGACAGATTTCAGCCAAGAGTTTGTAACTGTACGATATTTACTGTAAGATGTAGAACATTCGATAACTATTAAAATGTTTCCAAAAAAAAAAAAATAAATAAAAGAGCCCGAGAGGGTTGGTGGTTGGTTCTTTGGCGCGGTGATGTGGTGACGTGAACGGGACCGGCCATAAACCCATTTCTAGGTTGGTGTTGGAGCTTGATGGTCTCCAACCCAACCTTGGGTGGGTTGTCCCACTGACCCCAACATGGCCAAGCCAACGTGATCCTATAGAAACAGCTCCTATGGAAAGTGGCGTGTGTGAGCTTCATGGTGAGCAGAGCATCACCACCACGTTCTCCTGGGCTGACTGAGACTTTAGATAGAGGAGATGTAGATGGAGACCAGCTTTGGCCAGAGCAAACCATGCCCCGGTTGGTTGTTGGGGAGGTGGGAGCTGTCCCATGATCCAGACACTGTCATTAGCGTGCGATGGTGAGTGCTGGCACCTGGTGATGGAGGGAAATCAAGAGCTCATGACATTCCTGGAGAGGCTTCAGTTGAACAGACCCAGAAGGTGACCGTGAAATGGCATCCTGGCTGTGCGACGTCCTCCGTTGCATGGTACCGCCAATGGAGCTGTGCTCCGGCGTTGTGGCTCCCAGAGATGCTCTCCATCAGGCCACCACGCCATGGCCACCACCACTGGCATCATGGCTTCTGGAGATGATCTCCCTCAGGCCACCATGCTGTAGCCATGACCACCAGTGTTGCAGCTCCTGGAGATGCTCTCCATCAGGCCACCATGCCATGGCCACCACCAGATCTTGGGGACAGGGAATCCTTCTCACCAGCTGGGCAAGATGCTGGATTTGCCCTGCTGCTGGTGGACACCTTGGTGGCAGGAACAGAAGCCAAGCTGCCACCTCCAGCACTTCACGGCTCCAAGCAGGACTGGCTTTCACACGGTGCCCAACATCCTCCACCCCTGCCATGGGGTCTTTGTGGGTGTCACCGCCCTCCCACGGCAGCCCCCAGGCCAGGTGCCAGCTGTGGAGGACAAGGGATGGACCACGTCTCCAGGTGAGGCTGTATTGGGCCCTTTGCACCACCCAAGGTGGCAGGAGCCACTCAGTGTCCCTCCCTGGGCCAACGTCCGTGGTGGCTGTCACTACCCAGGGACATCCCGTGACGGAGGGGACAACTCCTCCTGCTAAGGGCAGCCACCCAGGTTGTCCCCACACCCCCAGGGGTCCCCACCCGCAGCAGCGGGGCCAGGCCCCCCATAAGGATGCTGAGGCCCTGCAGGATTTGGCCACGAGCTCAGCAGGGTCAAGGTGTCCCCACGTGGTTGAGGACAGCCCAGGGTGACGGGAGCTGGAGGGGACACGCCGTCAGACGAATCATCCTCAGCAGGGTGCGGCGCCTGGGGTGGTGGGCACCCGTGGGTGCTCCGCGTGCAAGCATGGGGGTGTTGCCATGTGTGCATGACTGCATCCGTGTGTGTGCACGTACATATGTGCCCATGCACACGTGTGTGTGCAGAGGGGGGGTTGCATGTGCATTTATGCACCTTCGCCCACGTCTGTGTGTAGCAGTGTGCAAACGAGTGCACGTGTGCACATCTGCGTGCCTGTGCACAGAGCTCCAAATGCAAGCGTGGGTGCGTTTGCGTGCGTGTGTGCCTGCATACGTGTGTGTGCATGTACATACATGCCTGCGTGTATGTCTGTGTGCAGCGGTGGGCTTGTGCGTGCATTTATGCACGTTTGTGCATACATCTGCATGTGCAGCGGTGTGTGAACAGGTATCGTGTGCACGTCTGTGTGTGTATGCATGCTTACAGAGCTCCATATGCAAGTGTGGGTGTGTTTGCATGTGTGACTGCATATGTGTGCATACATGTACATATGTGCGTGTGCACACGTGTATGCATGCAGAGGTGGGTTTGCATGTGCACATGTTCATCCATGCAGACATCTGTATGTGCAGCGGCGTGTGAACAGGTGTCGTGCACATCTCTGTGTGTGTATGCACAGAGCTCCACGTGTTTGCATGCGTGTAGGACTGCATGTGCATGTACCTGTGTGTACACACATATGCGTGCAGAGGTGGGTTTCCATCTGCATTTATGCACATGTTCGTGCATATGCGTGTGCATGTGCAGTGGTGTGTGCACGGGTGCACACGTGCATGCACACTTACAGAGCTCCATGCGCAAGTGTGGGGGTGCATGACTGCACCCATGTGCGCGCATCCATAGGTGCACGCGTTTATGTATGTGTGCAGAAGTGGGTTTGCACCTGCATTTATGCACACGTTCCTCCATGCACGTGTGGGTGTCAACGTGCAGCAGGGTATGGAGGCGTGCATATGTACATATCTGTGTGTGTGCATGTGTATACACACTTACAGAGCTCCAGCTGCGTGTTTGCATGTGTGTGTAACTGCATACATGTGTGTGCATGTACAGGTGGGTTTGCATGTGCACACGTTCATCTGTGCATATGTGTGTGTGCACGTGCAGCGACGTGTGCACATCTATATATGTGTGCACGTTTGCATGCATGCACGTATACGTTTGCATGAAGAGGCGCGCGTGGCCGCGTGCAGCAGCGCCTGTTGGGGCGGGGGGGCTGCGCACGTGTGCGAGGGCACGTGCGCCCATGCAGCTGCCCGTGAGTCACGCCGCAGCCCCCCGGCCGTGTCACCCTGTGCCAGGCCCTGCCATGAGCCCACAGCACCCTGCGGCGGGTGACGACACCCTGCGGCGGGTGACACCCGCTCCGTCCCGCCTCGGCGGCCCCTCTGTGCGTCCAAGTTTACGCACGGCTATAGGGGGTGCGTATAGATGCATGCGCGTATATAAGTGCGCACACACATATGCATAGCCTTTTGTGCACATATGGGTGTATGACTATACATGTAAATGTATGCAAATATGTTGTATGGGGTGTATGGGCATTTGCATATGTGGTTTTAGCATGCTATAGGGGTGTATACAGGTGTAGCTGTATGAGCGCGCAGGTACAGAGGGGACGGGGTGTATTAAAGCACTGGCTGCTGCAGGACCCCCCGGGAGCCAGCAGCACCGTGCCTCTGCAGCACCCCTTTGCACCAGCACCCACCCCTGCACCCCCATCAGCACCCACTCCACGGCCCCCTATAGCACCTTAAATGCAGGGGGCGGGAGGAAAGGGGGGGGATGCTCACCAAACCCCTTCAGGCTCAACTTTTTAAGTATTTTTTAAGCCTCCCAGCTGCTGGAAGAGGCTTGGGGGTGATGAGCTGCTCTAGCCTCACAAATGACCGGTGCCCTCATTAGGCTTCAGAGTTAACACTCTATCCTCCAGCCCCCCGAAGCCCCGTTTCTCCCCAGGAAGGACCCCCCAGGGGCTCCCCAGCACCCTCCCTCCACACCCCCTCACCTCGGGGGGGCCATCGGTGCTTTTCAACCACGGGGGCCGCATCCCGCTACCGGCGGGGAGGGGACCGCGGGGGGGCTCACCCCCCACCTCGCTCCTCATCTCGGGGATCCGGGACACCCGAAACC